GCAAAGTGGACGAGAAGGTGAAAGGGCTTTGTTTGGCACGTGCGTCACACGTGAACCGTGTGTTTCCTCTTTTGCTTAAAGGGTATGTTTGACTATTTGCATCACTTTTTCATTTTTTTTAATAACTTCACTCACATGACCTTTTTAATTTATTTATTTTTGAGAAATTCTACTTTACTACTATATAACTTCAAATTGATCTACTATAATTTATGTCCATATTATAAGTTTAGGAAGATTAGGCTAACAAATCTTAATAACTAATTTGAAAAAGACTACTACTAGTATTATACTTTAAGAATAAACAAATTTTATTCACATTTTAAGAAGAAGAAACAAAAAAATAGAAACGGTGGTGGTGAGTGGGGTCCACTGTCCTAATAATGAAAGAACTGTTTTGTTTGAGAGATTGCAAGATGCCAGCCAATGTCTGCCCTGTAAACTCTTCTATTGCACGTCTCTGGTCGTGACTCGACGAACCCAAATTGGTACAAATAATTCATAAAAAATGTTCACCATGTAACACACTCTCGTGTTGAGGCCCATTATACAAGTAAGCCTTGTTTTAAAGGGCTTAAAAATGTTCACTTAAAAATTTCGATCTTCCATGGTTCGATCCCTCCCTAAGTAATACATCCTGTTTGATGTATATTTGCAAAACAATTCAGGGATTAAAACTATAAACAAATCAAGTTTGTTGGCACCGTTGTCGGAAACTAATAGTGTTGCATATAAATTTAAAATAAAAGTTTAATATAATTTCTTTTTGTTAGCTTCTTAATTTTTATTTTTATCGTGTGTGTTTTAAATACCATAAAAAGCATATTTATGTAGCGTCAAATTTATAGTTTCATGTTAGATGTATTTTTATTATATTGTCTATGGTCTCATACATCTCAAAACTGGTTGCTCTTTAATTAACAAACTCTACCGGTATCAAGATATTAATATCCATCGTGTTTGTATTGCTTCTCGTTTACTTAACAATTAACTATCGTATTTTGATAAAATAGGGATCGGTTTTATAGCTTTTGTTGTTTTACAACAAAAACTTCATATATTAGTTTCGACAGGTGCGAATAGGATACGTACTACATTCGAGAGATTACCATTCCAAAACACAATGATTTACATTAGAGAGAAGCTTTGTCGTCACGCTTCTTTTGCAAAGAAATTGGCATGAACATTTTTACATTGAAAGACAACTAACTCAAAGGAAGAGAAACTAATTCTAAAAAAACTAAAATTATATAACTCTAATTGAAAGCTTGGCCAATCTGCTTATTCCTTGATTATTTTTTATAAATACGAACAATCAGTCTCAAAGATATAAAATTTGTTTTTCAATAAGACACAAACATTGGCCATTAATACACATCGAATTCAACATGTGGAAGCAGAATACTCAAAATTGGCAAACTTACACATACTTATAAGTTTCATAAAAAGAAGATGAAAATGTTAACTCGAACAGATTTTTTTTTGTTTTTTACTAAAATTTTATTTTTGTAGAGTTAAATGTGTAACTAAACAAGAAGTTGAATGCGTGAAACGGAAAAACAGAATTAAAAAAAATGATTTGAATTAAATGCATACAACTAAAACGGTATTTTTTTATATTTTAACAAATTTCTTGATATTATCGTTCATCATTTCTTATTTGGATTACACCGTTTAAATTTACAAATTTACGGTTGTAAACAATACATGACAACTCAAATAAAAGTTTTACATTTAGCAGTTACAAATAATATTTGTTTGGTCTTACGGTGTGATAAAAATAAAGATTTTACACTTATTAATTATATTTTATATTTAGTGTTAGATCTATAATTTAATACATTTGTGTTAAAATGTAATCAGGCACATAATCGTCTCAACGTATTTGCATCTATATGTGCAAGTAACTTTTCATCGTAAATATACTTTATTCACAATTCGAAGTCAAA